TTCACAGGACAATGATATAAATGGAACTTTAAAACTTTTTTAAGTGTTACAGTGATATTTCGTTACATGTTCCATAATGTCAATAGATTTCCCCGCAACATCCATAATTATTACAAATGTCAATATAACGAAATATCTTTTATGCGATGTTTGTGATAATATAGAATAAAAATATACTGTTAGTCCGATATTTAAAAATACACATGCGTTCGTTGTGACTGTTAAACTGTTGTAATAACAATGTATATATATATATTCATAAAAACAATATTATACGCAATAACTTTTTTTGTACTCGAAAAAAAACCAGATTAGTTGAGCTCGAATGGATTTAACGTAGTTCACAAATTCACCGTTCTCATAACGTAGAGAGCAGAAGAAAATCCCTGACTTTTTACACTATCGGTATTTCAGAACATGAGACACGAAGTCCCATAAGATGATAGGTCTATCCTATACCTAGTCGGTGCTTCAATACACTTCATCGGTTAATTAAATCCGCAAATAACAAAGTTTTATATTGTTTCCGAGACAATCATTCTTACGGTTTTATGAAACAAAAATGCGATACCGAATAAGAAACTTTTTCTTGTTCGGCTTCACTTTAAGCGGTAACATTTTCGTCGATAGACTCAGCAAGAAAATAAAATTACCGCGTTCCGTGCAACGTTTGTAAATAGTATATGCATGACCCACGGCATTTATTACAAAAACAACTGTAATCGAAAAAACTTTTTAAAAACCACGCTTATATTTAAATGCACTAAAAAGAAGAAAATAATTTTTTTCCTGGTTCTCCATAAAATACCGAATCCAGTTACATAATTAATAATATTTTTCTCCAAAATTTTAAGCAATTAGGTCAAAATTTCTTCTGTTATAAAATTAGTGTCGGAATAAATAGAAAAAGTTAATATAAATTTAAATAAAATCATGATCATTAGTGACTATAAATAAAAGCGTGGAGCGCCCACGAAGATTACGTCAACATAGTTTAGAGCTGTACAATATTTAATTTAGTAATTTTTATACAAATAAGGTTTTGCATTTTTTCGGATTAACCGGCCTTAAATCCCGGTCCCATAGGGACAGGGATTAAGTAGCCGTCTACAATATTCGATTTTTAAGCCGTGCTAAAGTTTAAATTTTAGATAAACTTCCATGAATTACCTAACAGTCACGTGATTTCTCCTATTCAATTGTATTCTGATTAAGAGGTTAGTTTTTTAAAGGAAAAGATTGCTGTTTCAAGCGTGAATGGTCTATTGCATTCCGTTGAATCTTCTCCGAGCACAGATTTTTAAACAGCCACATCCAATCCATATTCAAAACATTCGACGCAACATAAAAACCAATAAAACCATTGTAAGTTTTACGAAACATATTGAAACGTATGGTGTCGCCTACACCGCCTACACATATATATAAGTACTTATACATAGTTCGGGGTTGTTCGGGGTGGAAAATCGTTTGAACAACAGCAAACTGACAGTAGCCACATCATTTGGCCTTGATGAAAATACGTAATCAGCTGTTACTACCGTCTATTTATCTCTTGTTGTATTGCATTTAATCATATATGTTCTTTCCACTATCTGCCAGTCATATTTTGACACATCACCATCTTACCTGAAAAATAATCAAAACTTTTATAACCTAGCGGGAACAGTGTGTCCACTTGAAATCATTTCTTTAAGTTTTCATTTTTTCCGCATGTACTGAAAACTTATTTTTAATCAATGTCAACAATTGAACCGTACGAATTTCTGCTTCACTGACAATTAATACCTCGCTGGAGATTTATATTTTCGATAAGTTTATAGTGCTTGTGTCCATGAAAAATATTCCTGAACACACCAAGATAAATATCGTTAATAAAAAAGAAACGTGCCGCTGATAGATATATTTATAGTCTACGATGAATTGTATTATTTGATCACTATTACAATAATGATCTTTTGCTGAAGTAAATCAAGAAAATCTATGAAGGACCATGTGTGCTATTATAAGTGCAAGATCTTGACATCAAGAGGAACGCATTTTCCAGTATAAAAAAAGATGGCTTGTGGTTCTTTAATCTGGAGGTTACTTATGTTTGGATGCAGCATACAAGTATTGTTAGCTGCATCCAAAGATGATCCATTGGAATATATGAGCAAGGAAGAACGAGATTCATTAAAGTTTGTATCACTATATATATTTTTTTTATTAGATTGATAATCTATTATTGGTACACATTCATTATTATATGTACTATTTTAATTACAGGGAAGAAGCCAGAGATATGTTCTATCATGCATACAATGCTTACATGGTAAAGTTTATATAAATTTCTTTTCTTTATAGATCTTTAATAAATCCGATTAATTTTAAAAATACAAGAATATTGCACAATTCGAGGAAACAGTATTTAATTTTTGAGAAAATAAATAAAGAGAGCATCCTATAAAAGCTGTAATATAAGTAGAAATAATTTATATATTTCTGCACATCAAAAATGTTACAGGGAATATCACAAGTTTTCTATTAGATATTTATTAAATGTATTGATTGTATTAAAGTTGATATGAAAATCTACATCTATTTTTGAACTGCATTTACAATAATTGTTATTTCAAATTAAGAAACAAATTTGTGTGTTAAAGGATAATGCATATCCTGCTGATGAATTGATGCCGTTGAGTTGTAAGGGACGATACAGAGGATCAGAACCAAATAGAGGTGACATAGATTCCACATTGGGAAAGTAAGAATAACACTTTATTACGTATACAAAATAAAACATGGACTAGATAGATAGATCTTTTTTGTGACTTTTATTCCAAATGGAAATGTTCTCTTGTGTTTTTACTTTATAGAATTTTGTGAAAATACAAGTTTGAGAGTTAAATTATAGTAATCTCATGATTATTTTTTATGAGAAGATTGTGGTAGGAAACAATTCTATTTATGTATTATTTACTTTCAGTTTTTCACTTACATTGGTGGATACATTAGACACACTTGTGGTGAGTACATTAGAATCACATGTTAATTAGATAAGAATTACATATTTCAAGAAATATATTTTAAATTGATTTATAATTATTTAATATGTGTTAGGTGTTGGGAGATTTAGAAGAATTTGAAAATGCAGTTAAAGTTGTTGCCAGAGATGTTAGTTTTGACACGGATGTTATTGTTTCTTTGTTCGAGACTAATATTAGAATGCTTGGGTAAAATATACTATTTATTACATTCTCTTTTTCTGCAGTATCTTTTCTTCAAATGATTCATCTGATTTAAACAATTTGTTCAATAGAGGTCTTCTAAGTGGCCACATACTAGCAGAATATTTGCAACAAAGAGCCGATATAATGCCATGGTATCGAGGTGAACTTTTAAATTTAGCAAAAGATTTAGGATACAGATTTTTACCTGCATTCAACACAACAACAGGAATACCATATGGCAGAGTAATAAAATTTTCATTCGTTATATCATAATAGAGTTTTAAAAAATCAGTAGTTTTTAAAAGTACTCCATTGTATACTTTCTATAGATAAACTTGAAATATGGTATGAAAGGCGTACCTCTGGAAGTGTCAAGAGAAACATGTACAGCCTGTGCGGGTAGCATGATTTTAGAAATGGCAGCATTGTCAAGGTTAACAGGAGAATCAATTTTCGAGGTACTAAAGACGTTTTACTTAGAATTTCATAACAACATCTTGTTGAATTCCACTTTATGATACTGTGTTACATAGGAGAAAGCACAAAAAGCAATGGATGTTTTATGGAGAATGCGTCACCGCGGCACTGATTTAATGGGTTCTGTATTAAATGTACATTCTGGTGATTGGGTACGAAGAGATTCTGGAGTTGGAGCAGGCATAGATTCTTACTATGAATATTGTCTTAAAGCATATATTTTATTAGGTAATTATTATTTGATTATTTCCTCTTGTATTACCTGAGTCATTTGAAAAGTTCTAGAAGTGGAATGTAAAGACACTTTATATCGTTTTTGAAATATTTGTATTTATCAATAATGCCCTTTAACATCAATGCACTTGAATCAACAATTCAATTTTATAGACCAGCGTTCTAGTCATTCTTGGGAAACTTGCACTCGAATTCGCTTTTGATTAATTGTTAGGAGACGCGGCACACAACGTAAATGCATTTTTTTTTAAGTAGGTGTATACGAAATACTGGGGGACCCGACGAGCGTATACTTTAGTGCCGAGAGTTAATGCCGTCTGAAGCATTTTTCCCTATAAGATTGTTGTCCTGGCGTGGATCCGAGTTTGGGACGATAATCGAGAACAGTCTGTACTATGTAGTACACTAACTTAATACGTTACAGTTCTTCACGTAACAAGTGAAAATTTTCGATGTACTACAAGTTTCTGAACTACTAATGACGCTTATACTTTTCTCCGAGTATTTTTCAAATGACCCACATATGCTAAAAAATAAAATTGACAGTAATATAAATCAAGTTTTAACGTTACGCAGGCGATGAAAAGTATTTGGGGCGGTTTAATAAACACTATCAAGCCGTAATGAAGTATGTAAGTCAAGGGCCGATGTTGTTAGATGTACATATGCACAGACCAAATACAAACTCCAAAAATTTCATGGATGCTTTGTTAGCTTTCTGGCCTGGTTTGCAGGTAGATTTTAGCTGACTCTTGTATGCTTAAATTATTTATTTCCTGAATAATCATATTTGTTTAATTGTCGTCTACTTTTTCGTAGGTATTGAAAGGCGACATTAAACCTGCTGTTGAAACACATGAAATGCTGTATCAAGTTATGCAAAGGCATAATTTTATACCAGAAGCATTTACTACTGATTTTCAGGTTGATTTTCATTTGTATGAACAAATAAAATTATGTTTTATATTAAGAATACTTCTCAGTTCGTGTGATTGTAGGTGCACTGGGGACATCATCCATTAAGACCCGAGTTTCTAGAGTCGACATACTTCCTGTATCGTGCTACGGGTGATCATTATTATTTAGGAGTTGGACGTAAAGTACTGAAAAGTCTGCAAACTTACGCCAGAGTACCGTGCGGTTATGCAGCTGTGTCGGATGTTAGAACCAATAAACATGATGATACAATGGATAGTTTTGTATTGTCAGAAACATTCAAATATTTATTTTTGTTATTCGCGGAACCAGGCGAGTTGGTTTTAGATTTGGATGAATTTATTTTTACAACCGAGGGACATCTATTGCCATTAACGCTTGCTTCCGTAAGAACTAATGTTTCTTCAGTAAGTATTTAAATAATTAAAGCGATACTTGTGTTTACTTTAACAATTTAGTATTTAAGTAACTATAAAATGTAAATTTGATAAGACTGAATTTCATCGTATACTGCAATCTTTTAATGTTTATATTTCATGAAATGAAGCAAGATTTTGAACGCGATATGGTGCACGTGGACGAAATGGATCGCACTTGTCCTAATTCTCTACATTTATTTCCTGCATCGGTGCGTTTACCTTTGCGAAATATGGTTGAAGATGTATGCCCAAGACGGGCAATGAAAAGAAGGTTAAGTGCTGCACAATTTCAGGTATGGAAGTATCCTATTACATTGTAATTAATTGCATGTTTGCTTCAATAAGTGATAAAAATGATTCCTTCCCGTAGGCCAACAGCTTAGAGCATTTGAAGCTGTTGAGTGATATGGGAATAACAACATTAACCTTAGCAGATGGACGAGTTCAACTTTTACATACCTTTTCTAACGTAGTATAAAAGTTTTTCTATACGAGTTAATGCAACTAAATGTTTTACATAATATAAAAACATGCATCTATTAATTGCACAGGCAAAAACACCACAAGACTCAGAAGAAGGTTTATTATTCATGCAAGAAATGGTAGAAATAAGCAAACTGCAGTCCCAACAAGTGGAAACGAAACCGCAAGCAGTTACGTTCGTGAACCCAAATACGAATCCACCTCAAAAAATTATGTTATTTGCCGGACCAGCACATTTTGGTCCTGAATTGCAAGGGTCGCATAAAATAACTGGGAAAGTTATTTCTACATATCCACCTGCTGCCTGCACTGATCTGCTTAACGTAGAGAAACTCGCAGGAAAGATAGCAATAATGAATCGTGGTAGTTGTATGTTTATAGAAAAGGTAAATTCTCTTTATTATATTCTCGATTTCACCCAGGATAATGTTTTATTTAATTACACGTTTTGATTAAAGGCAAGGCGAATTCAGCAGGCTGGTGCCATTGCTGGAATAGTACTAGATAATGTTGAAGGTTCTAACGCTGCAACGTCGCCTATGTTTGCAATGTCAGGGGATGGAAAAGAAGTGGATGATGTAACTATTCCAGTGGTATTCTTGTTCAGCGTTGAAGCTTCGGAATTACTAAAAGCTATTGCAGCTGCTAATGGTGATCTCACAGTTACTCTTGGTAAGCAATTTTACCTTATACGAGTAATTATAAAAGTACATTTAATTTTGTTTTTACGCTATTTTGATTTAACACAGTCTAGACAAACATTGAATTATTTTTTTCGCACGATTTGTTTTGACCTGACACGGTCTATTAATTTAACTTATTAAAAATCATCATTTAAAGTTTAATTCTAAGACAAACTATTTCTACTTATTTGTCTAAGAAATTCTTGATTCGGTTATCATATTATTTTTACTGGTTTTTATGATTTGAAGACAGTTTTCAATTTTGTCATATGCACGGCATCTTTTTTTATACGAATTTTTCGAAAGCGTACCTGTCTTGTAAAAACATAATTAAGTGTACTTAGATAAATTTGCTTTGCTATTATTCTTGTGGCCTTTATTGAATTTTATTTAAATTGGGCAAATAACATATTCCTATGTACTTTTTATATAAAACGAGGTATATTCAGTTAGAATAAGTCTGTATATTTTTCGTAAAACAATGTTAATTGTATGCAGCTTGAAATATGAACTCAATGTAACTGTAATTTTCTTTTTTTTTTTTTGGTTTATTTACAGGCACCTTCTATCCAAATGAAGATGTTCAACTAAAAGCACCCACTGATTTATCAATGTTCGAAAGATTGAAGGGATCATTAAAATCTTTCCTTACACAGCAAATAACACCACAGGTCTGTATTCGTTGGTGTTTGGCAATAATTTTCATTGAATATGTTCTTCTTTGGATATTAATTCACACGAAACGATATTGATTCATATTTCATATTTGTGTGATGATTATTTCCGTGTAAAAAGAACCTTATGTCTTTCTTACAAGTATTTTATATCATTCATGAATGAGAATCAAATGACAACACTGTGTCATGTGTGAATTAGTCAATGAAATCGGCAACTATTATTTCATAAGATATTTTTTTGTTTAATATTTATACTTCTTAGCAAGACAATTATATATGCCTTTCACTTAATCGTAATATTATGTAATGCAAATTGTTATTTAAGTTTTTATATTTTTTAAAGAAATTAAATTGTTGATTTTTATATTTACTACATCCACTTTAGTTTCATTATGCTTTTATATTCCTTCTTCGTTCAGTTAACCATTACAAACATGCACATTTACAATAACTTCATTTTATACTATTAATTAACACATATATATGTATAATATATATGTAATTTTTTTTAAATTGTATACTTTTACATCTCATATAATTGTAAAATGAAATTAAAAATCGATAGATATTTTTTTATAACAGACACCTGGAAGCAGTGGGTTAAATTTGGAAATGATATCCAAGCTCAAACACGAAGAAGATGAAAAGGATATAGTCTATTCTTCTGATCTACGAGCAGAAATTGTAAACGATTGGCTTGGTGGAGAAGTAAAAATCACGTCGTCATACAAACATACTCGTCTTGCGAAGAGTTCAGACGATAGCACGACGTTAGTTGAAAAACAATGGCGTCAATTGAGAGAAGTCTTTGCCAACCAGATATATACGGATGGAAATCAAAATGCAGGCTTACAAATTAGAAGTTTCATATTAGAAAGCTATTGCAATTGGATACTACAGGCACGAGGTGGAACAGATGTTTTATTAAACATGTCCTTAAAAAGTAAAGTTTTTTGGTTTTTAGAAGAATTGGCTCAAGTTGCACCGAATTCGTCCATTATAAAAATGGACCAATTGATGAAATCTAATAGACAAAAGATATTAAAACAATATTTACTTGCAAAGATGGAACGTATGGTATTGCATATGAACAGTCTCAGACCGACGCTGGTATGGACAAAGTATGGGCTTCCAAATTCTGAACAGTTACTTCAGTTGACACAACTCAGTATAGCGCAAGATGGCGATTACAAATTTCTGAGACAGTTATTGCCGGGTATTTTTGACACGGAAGATGAAAGTACGAATAAGCGTCTTTTCGTGATAGATCATTTTAGTAGAGAAATGCATAAAGAATATCTCGAAATGTTAACTAATATACAGGAAAAATATTTGGAGAAATCAATAATGGAACATAAAAATTCGTACCATGATGTAGTAATTAATAATTGGCAAAGAGATTTAAAGAATTTTGAAAAACTGGACATACTGAAGAAAATTATAGAACACGATGCTACCATTGAAGAATTCATAGCTGATAGTACCGAAAGTAGTAAAATGGAAACGAAATTCAAAGATGTTGCTAAAATATCTAAGAAACATGAGGCTATTGAGGTTGAAAAATTAGAAGATTTAAAATATTTTATAATAGCAGAAATAGAAAAGGCTGACAAAATTTCTGAACAAAATAATATTCGAAAATATAAGGATCACGTTAAAAAGTATAAAAAACATATTGATGTTTCAAAAGATGCCGCAGATAATACAGGCAAAGAAGTAATTAATCCAAATAATGTCGTTTTAAATGCTTCTTTGCAAAGTCAAAGTGATACCGAAGAATTGGAAGAGAGAAGAAAATATATGGAGCTCCTGGAACATTTTACTAAAATTACAAATTCTTTGGAAAATATACAATCAAATAACTTAGATTTTTTAGAAAGTGTTATCAACAACAATAGCGCTGAAAAACAAGTGTATGAAGAATCTTCATTAAACAATGGCGCCGATTTTCAGTTAATCGGCACACAAATAACTGCATCAAATGTAAAAACGATAGTAAAAGATAGAGAAGATATGACGTTAGAAAAGGTCGAAGATGAAAGCACCCGCGTGCATGATAATCAGAAAAATAAAATAGATATTGAGCATTCCGTTAATTTTAACGCGAACGATAATAAAATTATGTCCTCCAACTTACCTACAGAATTAAATGACAATGTACGAACAACTGAAGAGGAGAAAAACAAACATTCTGTTCATAATAAACAAGAGTCACTAAGTTCTTCACATGTACAGGAATACGGAAGTAAACATATCGATGATGAACTATAATAAAAGCTTGAAGTTTTAGGATGAATTATAAATATTAAAAAAGAAATGGATAGATTTCTAAATGTTACAAGCCTGGCAATCCTTACCACACAGCATTTGATATTTTTGCACTAAAACTCAAATGTGTGTACAGTGAGCTTTAATGTTTTGATATACATCAACTCTTTTAGAAAAAACATTAGTTATTTAATAAAAAAAAAGAAAGAAGAAAGCATACGATCTATCAGACGATATCAGAATCACATTAAGTCTGTTTAACTGGTGCTTATTATTTGAGAAAAATAGTGAAGTTATGAGAAAATGTATAATACATATAGACTGCCTGTGTGAGACATTTATCGTAACGAGGTTGTGAAAGAATATTCTGTTAAGATTCTAAAGGATGTAAATTTTATACATACCACTTAAACATAGTATATTTCTTGTGCACAATACTTACAGTACAATGACAACATATTGTTTTCCTTCGAGAAAGGGTTTGGTTCTGCTCCCGTTTTTTGTCTTTCTGAATTCAAAATGTGTGCCATGCTGGACAACGTAAATGAATATATCAGTGGCTAATGAATATTTTGTCATTTCCTACAACACAACTATATTTCATATACTAATATAGCATATGGATAATGGTTGTTAAAAAATAGTTTAAATTCTTTGTGACAGTAGAATTTCCATGCTTTTCTTAAAATGTTATGGTAAATTGTTTTTCGTTTAAATATCACGGATGTTTATTTTATTTATAAGGTTTCTCATCTTGATATGAAGAAAAAGCACAGTATGTAATATATGAATTTTATTTCAGTAGTATAAAGTTTGGTATACACATTTTCTCAAAAATATATTTTCATTTTTTTTTCTAATACCAATATTTGCTGTTTTGAGCTACATCTATCAATTTTACAGACATATATTGATATACTTTTATTTCAATATTGCTGTAATAATTGTATATAATATATATTTTTCATTTTCATTTGTGTATTAATATATGCCTTATGTGTACATAAAATTGTACAAACAACAATGTATATATATGTCATATGGTTTGTAACAAAGTTAATTAATAGTGATAAAAAAGATAGCCAATTAAGTATTTACTGTTCAGTGTATTGAAGAAACTTAGTTTCCTTACAATTATCTTCTTTTCTTTTAGTAAAAACAAACGTTTGCAGATTGTAAAACAGCTCTAAGCTAACGATGCAGAATTGCAATTGTATTATGTGCCATAGAATATGCGCAAGAAATTGTTATGTTTCAAACCAAATCAATTTAGGATGATACTATGTGTATTTCATTTAACCCAGTGTAATATGTAACTGACTATAAATGTAAATACTATATAAATAAGTAGGTAATAAGTTTGTGGTTTACAAGTATCATGTAAAAGTTTGTATACTAAATGCCAAAATGGACATTACAAAGTTTATTGTACATTAAACTAGTTACTATTTTGCATAGATTGTATGTATAGATATATGCATGTATATATCCACATACATAAATGAACATTGCATGTACATATATATGCATGTATGTACGTGTATATCATTTAATTTGTTTATCATACAAAAAAAAAGTATAAAATACATAAGACAGATGAACATATACAAGTAATATGTTAACAATTTTTGGTACAGAAATAGAATATGATACCGAGAAATATAAATAAAATCTCTGTTACAAAGAAATATAACTTCTTTTTTCAAAGGAATAGAAAGTAGAAACATTCAGTTTTCATATCTGTATTTTTATGTGTAACATCTTACGGCTCATATTTTTTTTTCATAAACTTTGTACAGAATTTAATTTTAATTATATTTTATAAATACAAATACCGATAATGGGTGATCTTTGTGTTAGTAATTCATCAATATTTTTATTTTATAAAATCTGTATTTTAATAATTATGTTCAATATCTTTGATCAGGAAATTTAAAGTACATATGTAACGAAAACGTTACAATTTCTTCCCAACCTGCTTTATTGAATAAAGAACATTGTTGCTTTCAGTACATAAATAACAATTAGAAAGATTGCGTCAGATTATGCAAAAGTTTTGTTTATAAAAGTATACATATAACTGAATTTTTCGGAGCACATGTATATAAGGCTATATATATTCATGTTATTATTAACTTCTATAAAACGATAGATAAATTTACGGAAAAATGAAAACATTATATAATTAAGAAGTGCAGAAAATATATATGAACAATGTTCTAAATAAATTTTTAAAAATAATCTTTGTAACGAGTATTAATAGTTTTTATTAGTACATGCTGGAGATTGTTTTATTAAATAGACATTGAAGTAATAAAGAAAAACGCGTCCACAATGTATAATGATAAATTCTTTAAAAGATACATCATCATATAAGTATACGTGTATTTTAACGGCTTTGCTTTAAGCCGCTTTCCATTGAAGTTTGCGTCTTCGAGTTACGACAACCTGTCGTCAGACGTTGGCTCACGTTGGCTGTGCGTCAATGGTAAGGAAGCTATTTTAATTTCGAATTTCGGACGACCCTGATGTGCTCTATCAGGTATCAGGCGTACAGTAATACATTAGCATTTCATTTCAACAATCGAGCTGAAAAATCAAAGATTTTTGAAGAGACGATAATTGATTTCGAAGGTAGGACATTGCATTTTCACTGTCATGCAAAGCAAATAACGTGTACGAGTACCATGTGTTACTAACCATACAACAAACTTGCTTATAATTTCAATTTGTGACTTTTACGTAATTGCATTTTTGATTAAAGTTTTCTAAATTTTCGAATTACCAGTTGCTATTTCGTTATTCACTTAACATTGTACACTATGAAATTTGTAAAAAAAACAATTCTATCTTGTATTTCAGATGTGTGAACCACCAAAATACTATGGGAAAAGAAGAAGTATTGTCCGTAGAATTGGTTCACTTTTACCTTTAAAACCTCCACCAAAAATATATGTCAGTGTTACGTCTTTACATTCAATGACAAGTTCCATGATCAATGAAGAAACCAGTAGTGATTGTAAAGATACAAATGGATTTGAACAAGCTAGGTAAGTAAATGGTTTCATTAAATTTCATTTGTCTTAATTGATTTAACAATTCATTAATTCGATAATATTTGTATGTACTAGGCTTTCTAATATAAGACCAGATTTATTGGAACCTATTAGTTTTGGGTCAGAAGTTCGTTTGCTTGCTCTAGAGCAAGAACTTCAAGAGCTTAGGGAACAAATTTCAGCGATAGTTAAAAGTAACAAACAATCTAGATGTTAGTATATATAAGGAACATACATTTTGATCTATTAGTAGTAGTTTATTGTCTAAGTATATTAATTGTATATACTAATTAAAAATCTGTTTAGATACATCCACTGCATCTTTAGCAAATGGAACTGATAGTGAAAATATAACACAGGTGCAACCACCACCACCACCACCATTGCCACCACCTACAACTCCTCATATCGCCAGGAGAGCAAGTTTGCAAGACCACAAAGTTGAAGAACGTAAAAAATTCCCATTAAATTCTCAGGCATCTATGGGTGATATTCTCAAAAATATTGACGGAATTCAACAGAATCCAGTTGCTAAGTAATATTGATTGCTACATATAGTGCAGTTGTACACAATTATCTATTGTAAATTATAGTTTGATGTAATGTGTTTCAGATCTCCAGGAGGACGTTCTGTTCGCATAAAACGTCACAGTTAATTTGGTGATAGAAGATTCCCTTTCAAGTGATGCATGAAGGCACTCTACTGACAGTTTTTTGAATGAGCATTGTGTGAGATATATGTGCCATATATCATTTTGGACAGTGTTAATAACAGGCTAATGAATTGGATGATTACTTTTAAGAAGGATATGCATCCAAGATGCAATACAGTGGATACAGTTGATGCAAAATTAATGTGGCAGAGATCATTGACATTGTGATTAAAAGTTTTAAAATGTGACGTTAATCACATTTTTCAAAGAGCATTGTTGCCGTTAAAACGTATGGAGATGAACTAACCAAAGATATAATTTATTGCATAGAACGGGATTAAAATGTTGAGCTGTAAACTAATAGAGTATTGTGTAAGATATTTTTAAATTTGAGTAAATACTTTTTTATAAAAGTAAAAAATATGAATTGTTTGAAGTTTTAAGAAAAAGCTTGCTGAAATATATGTATCACGTCATACATATTAAAAAGATACATGTTTGATTAATTTGAAGGGATCACAACTGACAAAGTAATGTGGATTTTGGTGTTTACTATTTATTCTAGTCCTATTCTAACAAGGACAGTCCATCATTTGTCTTAAACACAGTAATATTAATCCAAAGTGTTCAACAGGCGTTAACAACGTTTTTAAATTTTTCAACAAATCAGATTGAAATTCATACAAAAAATGTTCCATCCTTATTTTAAACTATAAAAGTTTACTGCTCAATATTACTTACACATAATTTTTTACTTTTTGTGCGAGAAGCATGTCTAAGCGCTGCTTTAGTGAACAGAATTAGTGTTTATTTCGATTTTTCTGAGACACAGCTTCTCAAGCACCATCTACTAGAGCCTCATTAGTTTATTTGACGTACGTTCATACTTATTCAAATTGTAAGGCAAAAATGTTATGATATTAAAGTCATGCAGTGACTTTCATATGTTAGATCCTGCCATAGAAAACAGTACATGTACTCTCTATAAATAGATACTAGCACGGGCTTGCCACACAACGGATAGTCACACTGGTACTCATGCCATTTGTTAAATGAAACACGTTTTCATAGTAATCAGTCAATGAACATTCAATAATATGTGCACACACGATGAGACGAACACACGAATCATGTTTTGTGACATTAAGATCATGAACTATCACCGTGTAATAAATCTTATGTTTACCTGACTTACGGTTGCTAATATAAAGAATTTAGGGAAAAATGTAGTGCAGGATCGTGACAGTGATCGATCAAAGTTGAACATATTTTCAGTTCTTTATATTCTTTATAGAAGTAACTCGAAACATTTATGTTTTAACTATTTTCTGACACAAAAGTATTTAGGGAACTTAATCTTCTGTTGAAAGGAATGTCATATAATAGATTTTGGAGACTGAGTGTAATCTTTAATGATATTACAAATGTACAGAAGATCTGTTTTATACATGTAACTTTTATCAATAATTAAAAAATAAACGTTATTGTTGAACAACGAAATAGTGTATTTATTTGTACATTTAAATAAACCAAAATTGATATTTTATTTACACAAAGCCTCACAACGTTATTCATTAATCCCGCACTATTTCCACTCGTATTCTTAATATCAATTAACCAAAAATGTAATAAATAATAATAAAATAATTAATTCTAAAACTTTAAGTTTTGGAAGTTCTGGAATTAGTTCCAATTTTCGCCACCAAAGTGGTGGAGGCGCCACTAAATGTCCCATAAATACCCCAATTTTTCCGGCACTTTTCTGAATCCAAGATGGCGGAAAAAATCTGCAAGTTTGTGGGGGTCTCTAGGCCCCCACCAGGGCGCCACCAACTTGCAGGCTTTTCCACCATGTTGGATTCAGAAAAGTGCCGGAAAAATTTGGGAATTTATGGGACATTTAGTGGCGCCCCCACTACTTTGGTGGCGAAAATTGCAAAATAATAATCCTGAGTAGGTACTTATACATACTACTAATTTAATATTTTTCATGGAAAGCCGAAAACATCCTACATAATACTACGTGTTTCGTTTTTTTTACGATTTATATGTAAACATTGAAATTGAATTCCATACTCGAGATTTGAATAAAATGTTATTTACGTTTATAAATATGTCATATACTTGAACATGAATTCTATACTCATCACTCGCATAAAACATTATTTATGTTAAAATTTCACGCGTGCGTTCAGTTTTGCTTCTTATTGTAACTGTGTATATTCGTGTGCATTACGAAAAGTAGTACGTTTCGTTTTTTGCCGGGAAAAATGGCATATTCGAATGGCTGGCTACGAAAAGAAGCTTGTTTCGTCTTTCGCTACGAAAACTAACAAATTCGAATGATTTCCTACGAAGTGTAGTGTGTATCGTTTATAGCGAATTAAATTATGCATATTTAAATTTTTATATTTTTTTGTCCTTTTGGAGATTAGATAGAGTTTCTATTTATTAAACAATATTTTTAAAGGTTGAGTTTTTCGATGGAAAACGCTTTTGTACAATTTCAACGATCAGTTTTCGCCGAAAAATAAAAAATGTGCTACTCTTCGTGGCGAAACAGTAGAATGTGTTAGTTATCTTTCTAGAACTACCAAAACAGTCGAAATAACTGGTTAGGGCATTCTTATAACGACGATTAAAATGGTACAATAATATACCTTCGCTCAGATATTCCACAACTTTCATTGCAATGTGAATGTGAAGAAATTATTAGAATATTTTCAAAACTTTATCGTGTTTATCGATCCGATTTCATCGTTTCTTATGAATATTAACACTAGAACTACCCAGTCAGCCAAACCTGCAAAGCCAAATTTTGTTCAATGCCTGTTATAAAGTTATGACTACAAGTTTTATGCTAGATTTGCTATAAACAAATAAAAAAGAACTTGTACACAGCAAGTTATCAGGATATTTTCTGCATACAGACATAGCAATGATAACCAGTTGTGTACAAGTTTTGAGCAAATTGCCAGCAATAATTACAATGACAATTAGCCTCGGTTATTTCACAGCAATAAAACATATGTTACTTTTCGTAATCGCACGCTGATATAACAATAGATCCCTGGAACCGTATTTTGATTTTTAAATCAAATAATGATGCATCAAAGAAAATACAACAAGTTTCGTTTCCCTCGTCAACAAAGTTCCTTACGAACATGTGTTTGATTGCGTTAATTACTATGGCGAACGCCACACGAACTACGTTATTTGTGGGATTTAACAACCCCCCTGGAAACTCTAAACGTCCCAATTAAAATTTATTATGCAGTTGCCTATAGTCGACGGAGTTCGCTACAATGTTCGTTAATAATAATTAGTGTCTTTATTGTTGGTTAGTACGGGGAGGACACGCCAAACTTTTGATAATATAGTATAAGGTTCAGGAGGGGGAGGCTTTTAATGAGAGATCTATGAATGGTAGCGTGAGACAGGGTTTCCCTATATAAACCTGGACCGGTGCGATCACGTATGACACTGTCTGAAATTTTACGGCGATCGACACATCACCCGTGTAGACGATCCCTCCGCCATTTCTGTGAAATTTTAAGGTAAGAATATTTGCTGAAAATTGTATCAGGATAAACGCAACAATAGATGAACACTTAAGAGATTCTGTGACTATTAAAGTCGAATTTCAAGTGATAATATTAATGAATATTTACCACATAAATATTAGATTTTTTAATGTCTATACCTTTTTATAACGTATAGATGTCAATTTGAAAAATTGGAAAAATGTAATTAATAATATTACAAGGAAAAGAATATAGATTTCAGCAATGAATGAACAATATTAGGTAAATGAACATTTCTAACCAGTGGCGCGAAAATTGTTTAAATATAAAAAAAAAAATAAGGAATTGAAAAAAAATTGATATTTATGCAATTATTTGCTTATTTTAATATTAAATCAATTTACTAATTTTTATATATGGATAACATTCAGTTACTGGTGCACTGACCCTAGCTTTCAACATTGTTACAAGTTCCCGCGAATATTTTGATATTTTCTTGTTGAGATAAAGCAATTAAAGGAATTTCATCTTGGGATAGTATTTGAACATGATAGAATAAATAACAGGCGAATTTCTGTGCCCTAGTTTCATTATCCATTATATTAGGTAGAATCGTAAATAATTTTTATCGTAGATATTACAAAATTTACTAAATATATAGTAATTAAATAGCAACGACGATAAGAATGTTTAGATTAATTAACGATTACTGAGGTTAATCTCAGATAGCACATGACGTCAAAAGACGTCCTGAAGATGGCTTAAAGGCGCCTTAGACCTAAAATAGCTGTAAAATGGACGTCTTCAAGGCGTCATGTGCTATCTCGGTAATGATGGAGACCGGGTAGTGTAAAAATATTCATTGTGAAATGTATTCGTTATATATGTGCTGGGAGAAAATGGTTTGCATAATAAAAAATTTCACGTACGTTCCTTTATTTATGATTGTTACACCGTGGACGATTAAAAATTTAAATATCCCTAAATTAAGGTTCTGGACTGCTTAATTCGAACTATTGCTAAGGCTGCGGATTGCCCAGTTTCAGGCAGTTTTTACCCTAAGTTTATCGATAAATGTGACCAACGGAAATTCTGAAAAAACGTCAACAGATAATAAACGAGCAGGCGAGTGCAATAGATTAAAGCTGGAGGCGACGAAAATAGAAAAAAAAAAACGAATTCCTCGTATCGATCAAAATGAAAAAACAAAAAGAAATCAACTTTTGATCGGTATGTGCGCAGCACCACCGATGGAACGGCATCAGATCACAGTTTATCAAGTGTACGATTATTTTTCCTTCCCTTGCCACGGATTGCAATTTCGGATGATTGATTTCTTTGATTGCGGAGTGAGTTATTCGCGCGAGATTCAATCTGTCGTACTGATTTTTTAATCAGTCCAATGAAATTTATCCCCGGAACGTGTACGGCCAACTTGCTTGGACATTCAAGCGTACGAACGGCCGATAAACAAACACATTTCACATGAATAGTAAAGGAAAACATTAATATAAGGAGTTAAGTTCGTCGAATATAAGTTTTGTCGAAAGAGACAGACATCTCAGAAGACTATGACCTTGAGATGATCTTCGATCTCATAGCCTAATTTCCTCCCTAAAATACAATAACTTTCTCCCGTGACAAATAAGAGAATAATTAAGGGTGGCAGAGTTGGGTGGGACACCCTGTATAGGCTATAAACGTATAAAATCCGTAGTCCAGTTATAAGATCTGTTATAAATAACTTGCGTGCAGACTGACAGCAACATATGCAGCAAATTGGCTCGCGCCAGACACTGTTCCATTTTCGCCCCCAATTTGAAATAGGTTATGTTGCAAAGACTTGCTGCCAATTTGCTTTACCATTTTATCAGCTGGCGTTACCTGATGAACCCAAGCCAAATGCGGAAACAGATGGCTATGGTTGTTTAGAGAACTTTTGTCTTTATTTACTGGCAATTTGCACGAAACTTGTACACAACTGGTTATCAGAGAGGATCACCTTCCGTTCGAAGGAGTCCTCCGCGACCAATGACGCGCGTAAATTCCATCATGGCCGCCGTAGGGAGATTGGAAAAATCAGCGGCGGATCGTTCGTCGGCCGCTGTTTGTGGTATCGCCATTATTGGCTACGGGGTCGAACAATGCAAATACGTGAGGGGGGGGGGGGGGTTCCTCGAGTCTTCTATGCGACAGAGAGATGCTGGTCACGTTTCCTTATCCGCGGGACACTTAGTAGCACTTACTCTTATCTTAATGACTGGGGACGCGCGTAGCGTTAATGGTTCCTTTAAAATTAGCACGTGGAAACGTACGAGGGTACTCTAAAATTTTTCGAAAAAACCCCCTCACGTGACGCGCAGCGTGTACCCGGTTGTCACAGGCAACAGAGATAAATGTCGGGGGCTTTTTCTTTTTTCTCTCTCTCTCCCTGCCTCTGCTTTTCTACCGTTTTGAAATCGCGATTCTGTACCACGAACGTCGTAAATTCGTGTTTACTTGATTCTGGAGTGCGACTGGTTAACTTGGTCCAGAAGCTAAAAGCGAATTACACTTGCTAACTGTATTTGACTACTAGAGTAGACCGGCTACTTTATCATTTTAGTGACAATTTGAAAAGCACGTGGTTTTCATGAATTTACGAAGAAAACAATGAAACCGCATACGGTAAAAAGCCGGTCTGACTCTTATTTTAGACTGATATTAGTCATATGTATATGATAGAGGAATATTAAGGCTTTCTACCTTCAATTAGCTATTCCTGCACCAGACAACAACCCTTCCGTGACTTCCTATTCCACTTCCAACTCATTCTTTTTTTTTTTTCAAGCAACTCCACCTTCTTTTGGCGCGTTCGTGCTAAGACGATTGGCTTCGGCGATATGATCTCAATAAAAAATAACAAAATAATTCGTCATTTGAAATGGATACTATTTCAAATAAATCGATAATATTTATATTTTTAAATAACAATATTGAAAATAAAGTTTCGATATAAATTATTTCAAATAGTTATTCCTTATTTTCATTTCAAATAAAATTTGCCCAGGTCTGGGTGTAGTGTTAATATTATACAGATTTGGTAAGCGGTTTCCAATAATGCAACAGGTTTTGCGAATCGAAAGCGTGAACGTTATTTAAGTGAATGCGTTTTAACATTCGAGGAACATTGAGGCTCCCGGGCTTCCTTTTTTCGCTTAACGAGCCCCGCTAATCGGCGAATTGGCGAGTTAATTTGTGAAATGGATGGAATCGAGCGTGATTTCGACGACTGATAGCGGCGCGAGAATCACTGCTACATTCGTTTTCCTTTTTTTTGTCGTTACACGTTCGTCTTCCAGACGAGTTTTTTTTCGACCGTTACAAAATGGCGGCTCGTGTGGCTGCACTCTGAACCTTTAGACCATACATATTTATTTTGCAATCTAAATATCAAAATATATACATGTTTATTTTGTAATCAAAATATCAAAATATGAACTATTTTATTTTAAAATAATTTTTCTCTGGACATCTGTGTATTGTTTAATCTATTTTTTAAAACTAAAGTAATTTATAAAGAAATAATTACCTTCATGTAAATATAGATTTTTGTGAATTAATTGATAAAGATTGGAATGCAATAGAAATTTTAGTGTGAACAAGTCTTGAGAAAGATTTTCCAAATAGACTCGATGTACAGTAAATGAACCTGTACCAGTGAATTAACATTATATATATAAAAACGAGTAAATTAAATTGTTAAAATAAGCAAATGATTAAATATTAATTTGTTTTCAATTCCTCATTTCATATTCAAACAATTTTTTCGCCATTGGTTAGAAATGTTAATCTGTTTAATACTGTTCATTTGCTGGTGAAATCTGTATTTCTCTTCTTTTTAATGTAATCAATTACATTTTTTTAATTTTGCAAATTGAAATCTACACCTTATAAAACGGTATGGATATTAAAAAGTCAAATTTTCATGCGACAAATGTTTATTAATAGTATTATCATCTGAAATTCGACTTTAATAGTTGTAAAATCTCTTAAATGTTCATTTTATTGGTGCGTTTACCCTCTATTCCCACTCGTTCTGAATTATCCTAGTCCTACCATTGCTCTTCGAATAAATATTAAACAGTGTTTAGCGTTTTGTTTGTTACTCAAAGTTTACTTCTCAGGGAGAAATACAGTTCTCGTTTCTGATTAAACTAGGCAACGGGAGCGTTAAACAATCCGAGTGCTTGTTCTTAAATTGCACGAGTTTCAAACGGATCGTTGATCCGACGAGTCAACCGTGACACCCGAAGCGATCCATTGTTTTCTGTTCACACTGGAGTGAACATCGAGAGTTAAAACCAGCCATTTCTTTTTTTTTGTGCGCTCGGGTTGCAGGAAAAATAGCGCATGAAAAAGACGACGAATTCAAATCAGTTTGCCTAGAAACGCTTCTGTACAAACGGAATCCCGCGAAGTAAATACGCTCCTCCAGCCATCGATTTATGGCGTAACAGTTACTTGGAACGCGGAACGCTCGTTTCCGTGGCTCGAATTAAATTCATAATAGTTTCGCACGAAAGATATTAGGTGCACCGCGACCAGTTATTCATGCTATTTCTTTTAATAATGGAGAGGTATAATTTAAAAGCACGGCGCAGCTTCCTACATTTTTTCTTAGTAAAAAAGACGTAGGACATTGAAGAAGAATGTTTGATAGGGTTTTTATACTCTCGGAAATAAATAATGAATAGACTCTGCCTGTTTATGACAATTTACAATTTACACTATTATACATGGAAATCAAAAGTCAACAGAATTTTATTTTCTGCACTGGGGGTTTTAATATATTAATAATACATAAATGGTATTAAACTTCAAGCAAATCATTTGACCTAATTCTTTCGATTTAAGAGATGCCCTAAATGTATCAATTCTACAGTTCAATAACTAGTAATGAAAGCAAAGAATAATAAAATTGTGAAGCATATGCATAAAAAGTTATATTACATAAATTTAAAAGTAGAGTAGGTGGTTCTAATACAGCCTAGGGTCTCAATATGAGCTATGTAGTTGGAAGTAAGATTATGTCAGGTGCTTCACTATAGCGGGATTAGTATGAAACTATAACTTAAAAGAATTACTTATTTAAACTCCAAATCATAAAGTAAACATGTTTTAGATATTCTTATGGAAGTGTTACATCTTAAAAATCTTCAATAAATTTGGCAATAAGTTCTGAAACAAAAATGCTAGTCCGCATTTAGACCACCTCCTTTATATAATTTAAAAAGTTATTACCTTACGATCCTTTAAATTGAATCAAGCCAAAATTGAAATCGGGTCGAGGAAATATGTTCACCTATCGACTGTAATATAAATTAACCATTGATGTAAAATTAATTCTTAAGTTTCTCTAATAAAGAGCATTATTTAAACTTCAATTTCGGGTCGAATTAATTCAAATTGTGCAAAATGGTCATTTCAATTGCACAAAGGTCAGGTGAAAGATGAATTGAATTTTTTTACATATTTCTATTTGTGCACGATATTCGTGTAACGTTATTAACAACGTATTCTTTTTCGAATTTTTCAGATGGCTACCATGCACGTACTGACTTATTTCGTTTTCTCGTTGATGCTGACAACAGTTATTTGTCAGACGTTCCAGTACAGTCGCGGTTGGACGAATGGTAAAAGATCGTCGTCCATGCTGGAGGATCTCGTGAATTCCCCCAGCAAGAATGCGGGTCAATTAGACAATATCCTTGTTAACTGTGAGTTACAGAAGATGAGATTACTACTTCAAGGAAACGGTTACAACCAGGTAATTAATGTTTCGACTAATGTTCTTGGCAACTGAAGTCACTCTGTAATAAGCGTGCCTTATGAGCCGCCATTTTAGGTTCTGAAATTCTTGAAGCCCTTTATATTTTTGGAGATATTTCACTCGAATGAATGAAACAATACCTGCAATGCAATTAAATTCACCATATTCTGTGATTTGCATATGTCTTATTTAAGAATTGTGTTTTTCTTTTGCAGTTATTACAACTTCCTTGCGAATTTTTCGCTGTTCCGAAAAGGAGTTTCCCCGAATCAATGGCGAACGTCGAGCATTATCGACGACAGCCTCCGTCCATCAATAATAATTATTAAAACTATCATCAGCGTGTGTTTCTCTAAGAGTCAGTTGTAATTGATCGATGATTTGAACAAATAAAAAGCTGTATCTACGGAAGCTCACTTGTTTTGTTCTTTATACCTTGTCATTCAAGTTTTTCTTCAGTTATTACATACATCTCTATAAAACTTAATCAATGGTGTTTACTACAAACTCTTCGGTTTTGTAGTTTAGTTTCATAGGAGTATGCACAATATTCGAATAAAACAATAATGTATACTTATAGTGTTACAGCACGTGTTGAACGTGTTAAGCAAATCTTGCATAAAACTTGTAGCCATAACTTTATAACAGATATTGGACAAAATTTGACTGTGCAGGTTTGGTTGACTGGGAGGTGTCCAAACACTTACGAGCAGCAGTGTACATTCGCCACGTAGACTGTAACCGATTAAATCTTTAATAAATGAATTAGTGAATCGTGCACAGTTTACTGGTGCTATACCGTCTGCTATAAAGCTCAATTGTTTATCAATCATTGTTAGTCGATAATTGTTTTTATCGGACGCTGCACACCTGGATTTGTATTAATTATCGAGTTTCCTCGCGCGCGCGCGCGCGCGCTGAGGGCGCACCGCGGGCCTGTCGTTCGGTTTTCATCGGGTCCATCGGAACGGTTAATTAAGTTTTCGCTGTCCTAATTGGACAGACGGTCAATAGGATAGATCGGCGGCGGTGGCGTCGGCGGCCGTTCTCGGCCCTGGCCGTAGGGGGATTTCGTCTGTCAACGGAAGATGGAGTGAAACCCTGGCGAATCGAGACACCTGCTGAGTCCGTGGATTATCCCTACGGACAACTTATCTCAAACTGCAATTCGGCGCCTCGATTCCGCGGACTTTATATGTCTCGCGTGGGGTCAGATAAAATCGTTCCCCGAAAATGGCAAAGGGCTATACACACGGTTCTTAACGACGTTTCCGGCAAACGAGGAAACAACGGGATAAACTAACCTAACCTCTACCTGGCGAAGTGTCCTCGAACGAATAAACGTGATTGCTGCAGCAATTATTTGGATACTTAACGAAAATAAAAAAAAACACTGTTTCATATGAGTACATTAATCTTATAACGTCTGTTGTAACACATTATGATACATACTGAAGATATCTGTCCTTTTGCAAAGCGGTTTATAAGTTTGAATGGTCACTGACTATTAAGTAGTAGTGTAGTCTAGAGATGTGCGATATTGGTTACCATATCGATATGTATATTCTCACGTTAAATATCGATACATGAAAAATATTGTTCGAAAAGTATGAATATTCATAATATCGATACGAAAATCCTATCACTTTATATATTCAAGAGAATATTATTTTGGATCAAAAAGAATTGTTTAAAATGATATTTGCGGTTAAACTTAATGCAGTTTGAGAAATCAATCTCTCAGATGAGGCTGACGTCACAATTACGCATTGTATTTATGCTTCTTTTTTGTGAAGATTATTAATACTTGTATACAGAGACCAGTAAACAGAAGCTAAGCAGAGATTCGACCTCGTGCAAAAAACAAATTTCCGAGGCGCTGAAAATCTTTCCGCCTTGTCACGAATGCTCCGTAACGGACTCGAGTTCGTCGCACTTATCAAGACATTACTGTAACATCCTCCCCTCACGTTTTTTCTGTATCTCCAAAAACGAGCGAGATGTCGAAGATGCTGACGTTAGGTGGTACACCCTGTATACAACGGTCATTTTAATCTAATCGAACCCGCAAATCCCAGTCACGGTTTATTTCACACGCTCGCGCGGATAAGACACGCCGCCGGTTATAAATGCAAGAACAATGGCGTATCGCGCGAGCACGCGTGTTACAGACCTCGAGCACTCACGGTTATTAGTTGATAGCGTCACAGGACGCGTATAACTATCATGCACGGGCAATGCACTTAAAACTTGGCTGTTAATCAGAAACCAATTACGGGAGGCGGGTTGAAATGAGTTTAATCGCATTAAATATTAAAGCGTCGTCACCGTGCCATGGGGACCCGGGGTTGCACCAGTCCCCCCCCCCTCCCATAGGTGACCCTCTTTCCACCCAGTTAGTTACAGAGCAGGAGGGCCCCGTGCAACGGCACGTGGCCGTGTGTGTAACGCTCCTACCGTCTTAATACCCCCGAGAATAACCGAGGATCCCTACGCCAATGGCCCTTTATAGGGTGGCGCTTGTCGTACGCCTGCAATACGCATGCACAAACCGTTCCGCGCTTCCCGATAATGCTTCTTTCCGTTTGTGTACATGTATGTATATGGCGTACATATGGCGGTTGTACCAGCTCCCTCGAGATCGAAATAATTATTTTTAGAGCGTTACAGAAGCGAGGTAAACGACGCGCGACACTTGCGCGCTTCTTATTTAACGCGTTCGCTTCTTGATTAACTACGCTTAGGGATGAACCGATCCAAGTGGTGGAAATAACGTTATGTTGCTCGTGTCGCATTCATCGAGGAGTCACTGTATAACCGAAATCATATCGACCTGTTTACTCAGAACTTCATCACATTCAGACCCTTTGGCATACTACAAGAATAAAATTTCTAAAAGTGAAGGTCTCCCATTCGTGGAACCGATACGGAACCACCCAATCGCCTAAAACGCGACATCGCAGTTGCCCGGAAAAGTTACTGTCGACTGTGCGCGCCTCGTCCCACCTGTGAATATTCAAATCTACTCTTGTCTCGCAAATAACCATCGGGAGGGTTGCTGATCCAGGGACTGGCAAAAGAATCCCTGAAATCCGGGGATAATATCCATTACACTTTGAAGTTGCATCGCGCGTTATACCCAAAGTTTTAACGCCGTCTCCTCGGACGTTCAGCGTCGCCCCCGGGGCCGCGAAACGGATATTAGTGATAGAAGGAAAACGCCGGTACACCAACACACTTTCTCTTTGTATAAATACGTAAAATCAGGCAATCATCCTAAATGGCGTTTCTGCTTGGAGAGGAAAGAGGAGGAACCAGGGACCCGTTGTGTCTCGCCTTTTTCGAGCTGTCGTCTGTCGGCTGTCGTTTGTCGCGGGACAGCCGCGCCGTCGCGCACGCCCTGTGATAACGAAAAAGCGCAAAACGACGGGTGAAACTGTTTGACGTGCGCAATTTCGGTCCGCATCGGGCGTCGCAATTGTTCCCGTCCTCCTTTATTACTTTCTTCGGAGATAACTTTTCGTCCTGCGAAAACCGTTATCGAACGGTTCCGTGTTCGAGGAGATTCGATTATGGTTCCCCCTTTACGTCTCTATCAAAATCTAGGGATTTTAATGATAGTTTTGTAGAACGTTAGATTGCTTTTTGTGCGATTTTTTTTTTGACCGAATTTGAGAAGGAGATTACACAATTCGATGTGTATGTTTTTTTTTTATGTATGTCCAGCGATTAGTCTGCAACGGATGAACCCAATCAGGATGAAACCTTTTGCGTCTTATGGAAGGTGTCCGCGCGTTAGTCTTTTTTAAAAAATTCCGATTTTTTCTGTTTAATATAACATACCTCCGAAACTTTTAGGCTGCTAATTCTTCCATTTTTCCACAATAAACTTATACACAATAATAAACTGATTTTAATATTTATCAATGTAAAATACTCGAAAATAAATAATTAAAACAACCGACAAAAGAAATATAATACTCAACGTAGAAATATTCAAACACGTCCGCCCTGCTCGAAGCTTCGTACAAAACTGAACCAAAAAAACTGAATGCTTTCAGTAACTACCTATGTTGCTAACTTTCTTTCTTCAGTTCAGAGTATAACATACACTTGTCTCGAATAGAAAGGGAAAGTGAAAATCGGTTAGAGGGTTTTGAATAACGGTCGTTGGTGGGCAGATACCTGCGCACCCCTGTCATGAAACAGTGTGGAACTTTTCGATTATGAACACTAGGTTTAAGAGTACGCTTCGGTCAAAATTTTTGGAAAAATCGATTTCTTTTATTCCGTATTTTCATCGTATAACATTTCAAGAATGCTACAATTCCCGGCAAAACATTTCCGATCACACACATCATAACTTTGCTATATAAATTGTTATCCTATATACCGTAGACGCAGCTTTAGGAACAGTTGTTTTCACTCGTTTACAAGATTCTTATCAACTTGGTACAATATAAGACAAAAAAAAGGGTTCTCTTGTGTTTACATTTATAGCTTTTGGAACATAATAGAAAAAATTTCGTGTCTTCCTGAACGCTAAAACGATACGGAATGACATTTCTCGAGAGTGAACACTTCCCGCTTAATTCCTGTGTTATTCAACGGCCGAAGGAAGTTCGACGTTTCACTTTTTACTGCTCCAATTATCGTCTTCCTTTACGCGGAGGTGTTGTTTGGTCGCAGTGGTCTTTTTACAACCGGAAGATTTTCTCTTGTGGGATCGTTTGAGACTTTTCAACGGCTTGTTAACGGACGGGAAAAATAAAAATTTAAGTGGGGGCCCCGCCGTCTGTCTGTCGAGCGCGTCAAGGTGAAAAAAGGAACGTTTTCGACTATTTTTTTTTTCTTCTTAACACACCCTCGATACGTTCCGCGGGAGGCCGTAAGGGGGCGCAACCGCAAACGATCGGAAATAAAGAAACGGCCGGTAAAATAGTTACGAATAGACCTATTTTACGGGCAGGAAACGAATGGTGTTGGGACGGAGTGTTTCAGGAAACGTGTTGAACGGTTTAATGGCTATAGAAATTTCATCGTTTCACGTTAGTCAAACACCGACCGTTCATTTGGTCCTTTTTTCCAACTAATGATCTGAGGATGAACGGTAGCATTATTATAAACATTGATTGTACACCTAAAAACTGGAATGTTTTGGTTCTCTAATCGAGTAATTAGAAACTGCGATGTTGATTCGTACTCTTGCATGATATCTACTTTGAGAATTGTCAAAATTATTTGTAGAATTTTTGGAATAATCGCTCAGTTAGTGTTTTTGGTCTTATACAAGGTGAGTGAATAAGAAATATTATATAAGATAACTCGT